ACTTCTCTCAAGGCATATTTTATATCCCCGACCCCAAGCATATGGCCAGTGGGCCATTGAATGGCTCCTGAACAGAGTCCCTTCGTACAATCTACACCTGGAGGCCTTCCTACGTAGAGATCTCGATTCTTTAGGATCTAGGGGCAATTTCCTAGTCTTCAAGTAATTTATATACTTGTTCCTCCAATCCCAAGTTAAACTTGTCGAGTCTATTTTGGCAAGAAGTTATGACACATATGGGGTGGCATTGAAAGTATGGTTTTAACTTTCTAAAGGCGTCTAGCAAAGCGAGTGCAAATTTTTCCAGGTGAGGATACCTTGTTTCGGCCTCGCCTAGAGTTCTACTAACATAGTAAATAGGAAACTACGTACCTTCCTCTTCCCGAACTAGGACTCCACTTACCACCACCTCGGATACCGCCAAGTAAAGGTACAACTACTCATCTGCCTTCGGAGTATAGAGCAGAGGTGGACTCGAAAGGTACCATTTGAGTTTTTCAAAGCTTGTTGGCACTTCGGAGTCCAAGAAAAGTTATTTTTCTTCTACAATAGGGAGAAGAACCGATGGCTTTTGTCCAAGAACCTCGATATGAACCAGCCTAGGGCAGTTATACGTCCGATTAGCCTGTGAACGGCCCTGACACTATCCACCACACTGATGTCTTTTATGAATTTAATTTTGACAAGATTAATCTCGATCCCCTGATTCGATACCATGAAACCGAGGAACCTTCCCAATCCGACCTCGAAAGCGCAGTTCTCCGGGTTCAGCTTCATATTGTATTTCTTCAATATATCGAAGGTTTCCCGCAAATGTTTCAAATGGTCATCTGCTTGCAGAGACTTAATATAAACTTCCATTGATTTTCCTATCTGTTCTTCGAACATCTAGTTTACTAGGTGTTGATAAGTGGCACCGGCATTCTTGAGTCCAAACGGTATTATGTTATAACCATAAGTGCCAAATTTAGTGATAAAGGTAGTCTTTTCTTGATCGCTTGAGTCCATCCAAATTTGGTTGTACCCAGAATAGGCATTGAGGAAACTAAGTAGCTCGTGACCGGCCGTCGCTTCAATCATCTGATTGATGTTAGGCAAAGGAAAGGAGTCCTTAGGTCATGCCTTGTTCAAGTCTTTTTAATCTATACACATCCTTAACTTATTTCCTTTTTTAGATACTACTATTAGGTTAGCTAATCACTCAGGTTATTTGACTTCACGAATGGACCCTATTTTAAGGAGTTTAGATACCTCATCTTTGATAAATGCATGCTTGACCTCAAATTGAGGTCTTCTCTTTTGTTTAACCGGGTTATAAGTGTTCACCTCTGATGGGATCTTTGTCATGTCAAGATGGGACCAAGCGGAACAATCTATGTTAGCTTTAAAAAACTTAATGAGTTTATTCTTGAGCTCGGGGCCTAACCCCGTGCCTAGGTATACCTTTCGATCTGACAGATGCTTGGTCAATGTGATTTGCTCCAATTCTTTGACCATTGATTTGGTGGCATCGGTATCATCAGGAGCTATGAACGATCTCGGAACTCTGTAACATCTTCATCATCGACTCCTCGTCACTTTGTTGATTTTGTGATGGATGCCTTAGTGCGCTTTATCATTGGCCCCTAGGGGACATTGAACCCTCCAATGATCATGTTGATGACGTGCTGAAGTTCTTCTTGTTCGGTCTATTTGTAGGAGTCCCTGTTCCTCAAATGATTTTTGGCTCAATCACTCAGAAATTCTCGGAGATGCCCGTTATTGAATAACCAGACCACTTCTTCTCTTAATTGTTGGCAGTCAGTCCTAAGGCTATGAGTGCCATGATACTTACACATCAATTTAGGGTCTCTTTGGTAGGGTTGGGCTGCAATGGTCAAGGCCACTTGGTATCCTTGATGCACCCGATGGCAGATACGATGTTGGCGGCATTGACATTGAAGTTATATTCTAATAACCTTGGTGCCTCCCTAGCCCCAAGCGGCTTATCGAAACCATTTTTTCCCATCAGTACCCGGCTAATGTGGCCTCGATCGCTCCTCTTCTCATTCCTTGTAGGGTGACGCCCAGATTCGTTACCCCTTCGAACTCCGCTATACGGTTGGTACCGATCTTTGCTCTGCCTCGGTTCATGATTGACGATTTTCCAAGGCCTTTCATTGTCTCTGATGGGATAAACGAACCCAGAAGGGGCTCCGATCTGATCGTCCTTGACTCTGATTTTTGACTGGTACCTGTTGTAGATGTCTGCCCAAGTTACCACCGGGTATTTTACCAGATTTTGTTTTAACTGCTGTAAAGCCAAGGAACTACAGGAGTTAAGTCCTTGAGTGAATTCCTAAATGGCCCAATCATCCACAACCGGGGGCAAGTCCATCCATTCCATTTGAAATCTTGATACGAACTCTCTGAGCATTTTGTTGTCTGTTTGCTTAACCTTGAAAAGATCAGATTTTCTGGTCTCGACCTTGATGGCCCTGACATGTGCTTTCACAAAAGCATCTGCAAGCATATCAAATGAATCAATAGAATTTGAGGGTAAAAGTTGTGATACCATATCATTGCTTTATAGAGTTTCTCTGAACTTCTTTAGCAAAACCGGATCAATTTCATCATCTTCCAAATCGTTTCCCTTGATGGCACACGTGTAGGAGGTCACATACTCATTATCCGTGGTTCCGTTATATTTCGGAATATCAGGCATACGAAACTTTTTCGGGATTGGCTTCGGTGCCACGCTCGATGGAAAAGGATTTTGGACAAATGTTTTGGAGTCTAGGCATTTCAATATCGGGGGCGCTCCTGGGATTTGATCTACCCTGGAGTTATTAGTCTCCACTTTTTTGTCGTTGGCCTCAATTTTCTTCTCCACTGATTCCGTCCACTTTGTCAATTCCTCAAGCATTTTCATTATTTTGGGGTTGGTCCCGGGCTCAGCTTCATCCACCCTCTCGGTGTGTTGCTCACTTCTTCGGGTACTCCGCTGGGACTATTTAGGCTCGACCCTACCAGGAATGTGGCCTTGATTTTGTAGTTGCACTATCGCTACCTATTGAGTCTGCATTTTGAAGATTAGCCACAGTATTATCCCACTATCTCCGCCTTCGGGTGTTTCTCGAACCATCGCTCGTGGACCTCCGCGAATATTGTTCTCGGGGTCAGTTGACAGGTAGGTGCCGATAGCAACCTGTGACTTAGCATCGATTGGATTGGCAGCTGGGACTCCGTTGGGATCAACGTGGGGTACCTCATTGCTATCGACACCATGTTGTTGTTTCGCTATGATGGCCAGACTCAGCCTCAACGTTCAAGTGAGCAGACTGAGAGTTTGACATTTTTAAGCAAATCTGAAACTTGAAACTTAAAGAACAAGCGTAAAATAGAGTGCGTTATGAAAATTTGTATCAAATTACCACTATTATCCTTAGCCCCACGGTGGGCGCCAAACTGTTTACCCTTAAAAATAGATAACAATTGAATGTATATGCGGTTTTAAGGATATGTGGATTAGTTTGATACAAGTTATCAATAACATCAAATAAATAATTAAAGATGAAATAAATGACCAAACCAGTTGCGATGTTAAGTCCGGGCTCAGATCAGAGCTTAACAATTGATCTGCCCTCGACTCGGAACCAAAATATATATAAAGAGCTATGAGCAAAAACAAGAACTTTTCCTTAACTTACAAGCAGAGAGAAACAAGTTTATATTGCCTTGATATGTGTGTTACCGTGTGTCATTAAAATAAAGATCACCTCTATATATAGTAGGAGAGTTTCATCCCTAGTACAATAATAAAGGTAAAAATCTTCTTTTTCGTTAAGCACTTATCTGTTGTTGATACAGGCCGAGATCCACGCCATAATATCCGGTTGGACGCGTATATCACAGCCGTTCGTTAGTCTTATGCAACCCTTTGGTAGTGCTCTCCGAGGTCTTTGAGCTCGAACCGGATTCGGGGGCATTGTCTCGATGGCTTCGGTGGTAAGCGCTTCATTAGTCCTTAGTACGAGAGGTTCCTAGCTTCGATTTCGATTATAGTTATGTCCTTGCTTCGTTTGCTCAACCGGAAAATCGGGTTGCTCATTAGCCCAGTTTTACCGTATACAATTATAGTGGACAAATAAACTTGGAGTACAATATATGAATATGAGTTTCCCTAGTTTAGTTTATATAACGTAAAAGGTCAATCACTTTTCTTATTTGCATGAACAAAATGAAAAAGGAACACGGATCAAGTTGTTTTTCTCTATAAGAAGAAAAACACACAATGAAAAAAGGAGAGAAGGAATTTTTTTTCTCTTTCTAGAACATTGTCAAATATAATGTGAATAGACTTGAAAATTTTGACATAAAGGGTATGAGTAATAACCTATAGCATCTGATATATGAATAGTTTATGTGAACAAATTTTCTGGAAGATGTTCAAATGTACAGGAAACAGAAGCGCCCTCTTTTGACTAAAACCATGTTCATGAGTTACTACTGGTGTTAATTAATTTATACATTATTGAACTAGTGAGGATGATAAGATGACAGCTTTTCACACGTGGGATTATTTTGTNGGGGGGGGGGGTGTTGGTTTAATGAGCTATTCAATGGTGACCTAATTACCCTTCTTTTTTGGAATACATTTCATGTTTGAAGTATTGAACATCTTAATTTCTTGTATTTATCGTGGAAACTGTGAAGAACTCCAAAATCAATTATTTTCAAGTAAGTTTCCAGATCTTCTTACACTGTACAGATCTGTAATAAGTACTTTCATTAATTGCTTGTTAGAGCTTAATTTCTTCTGTTAATGTTAATTAATCTCCTGAAAAATCTAAGTCTGCTTTTTCACTAAAAGTAGAACGCCATTTTAGAAAGAAACCTAGATACTCATAAATAAGGTCAATAAATGGAACCTTAGGCATTAATTAATTAATTAATATTAACAAGCTTTCTATTTTCTGATGTATATATCCTTTTTTTGTTGTTCCCGTCTTATTTAGGGCATGGAATATACTGGTAATTTTAACGACGAAGATGACTTCTTCCTCGACGTAATGCAGAATTTTTCTCAAGATATATATTCATACTCCAATATTATTGAAGAGAAAGATCAATTAAAAGATCTTTCTTCGTCTCCCCTAAAATCTTCTTCTGGCTTTCTCATTTCGTTTTCATCATCTCAAGAAGAAGAAAATATTGCAATTGTAAAATCTCATTTGGAAGAAATTAATGCATGTCAAGCATTTGAGGGCAATAATAATAATAATATTATGTACAAGAGGACTCCTTTACAAGCTCAAGAACATGTTACTGCTGAGAGGAAACGCAGAGAAAAAATGGGCGAGCTTTTCATTTCTTTGTCAAAGGTTGTTCCTGGTCTAAAGAAGGTATAACATCCCAACTCAAACTTCTTTCTTTTTCTTTATATTTTTAGTCTTATTTCCTATATATACTTTCATCTTTTTTCAGTCCAGCTCGCTAGTGATATCATCCGCTTTTGGCCTAGGCCCTCACGAGTTTAAAACGCGTCATTAGGATCTAAAGTCTATCTACTTATATACCTAACAGCTCTCCCATATTTTGTCGATGTGGAATTTGCCTATGGTGTCACACAAGACAGGCTTAGATAGAGCAACATGTGAAAATTACTATAGTCGATCACAACTTATTTGGTACTGTGCTTACAATTACTTGTTTCCAGAAAGAAAAAAAAAACTGCAAAAAGAGCGGAAGAAAACTAATCAATTTTTTTACTTAATTGTGCTTTAATTTCCCTAGATTATTTACAAGATTTGCATTCGTTCCAGCTAAAGTTTAAGTTTCCAAGAATGCGAAAACAATGATTAGCCTTTAGTAAAATAAAAAGAAGCTTGTTTTTGTTTAGTCAATAAAAGTATAGGTTCTTGAAATTATTATTTCAGGTAGTGTCAGCATTAATATTGAAGTGAGGAAGATTATATTTTTTGTTCTTCAGATGTTGTGATGCTATTCATATTCGATTATATAACTATATAAATTGTTACTTTTACAAGCTAGGCTTCATGAGTATAAATCCTGTTGGATTTTTGGATTAAAGTAGTGTGAATGGAAACGAAGGAAAAATAAAATTTTGAATTTTTTCCGAATGAACATTGTTTTATATTGGAGAAAGAAAATATATTTGTTAGATTTATATACAATTGTATTTCTTTTAACTCTTAAAGAATTTAGTAGAAGGTAAGTCTCGTGTTGTCTCATCGTTTTGCTTGTCATTGGATATGATCTAATTTTCTCTCTGTTCTTTTTTTTTTTTAGCCGTTTTCATAATAGCCATTTTCTCGAAAAATCACGTGAAAGGCTGCAACTTTTGAGTTGCACATCTTCATTCAACCCAAATTTTTAGCTATAAATATATGGTCATGCCCTCGGATTTTCCTTACTAAAGTTCAAAAACTTCTTTCTTTGTGCATTATTTTCTTACAAAAAATAAAATGAGTACGATGCTATCGCCGTTTGTGTTTGTTGTTAACTATTATTTGAAGTACCGCTATATATGTGTAGCTAATTCATTCGTTCTATCATGTGTGAAAATAATACTAAGTCTTTGCTACTATGAGGGAATTAAGTTTCTTAAGGGTACACTGTAAAATCAGCGGGCTTGAATTTTCATTCTTTGTATGCACTTCTATTTTTATTTCTATTTTTACTTTGAAGAATTTATTTTTGAATATAGAAAGATAACAAATCCTTCGATACACAAAGCTAATTTCTTTCTTGGAGAGTATCATAACATTAGATAATATGATTTTTTTTTTTTTTTTTTTTATTTTGGTTCTTTATAGTTAGACAAGTCTTCTATCCTTGGAGATACTATTGAGTACACGAAAGAGCTTCAACAACAGGTAAAAATTCTTGAAGAGACAAAGAAAAACATACCATCTGCCTGCGAAAATATTAATGATTCCTCTTCCTACAACAAGAATGTTAACTGCATCGACGACCAAGTACTAGGATCAAAGATTAAGACAAGGATTTTGGACAAAAATGTACTTATCAACATTCACTGCAACAAACAAGATGGGGTGGTGGGAAGAATATTGTTCGAAATGGAGCAATTGCATCTTTCAGTTAATGACATAAGGATCATGCCATTTGGTTGTACTAATCTCGAAATATCAATTCTTGCTGAGGTAATTAACTTTAATCACTCTCTTAATCCTCAATTAGGAATAATTAACAGACTGCAAAAATACATTATTATGTACTCCCCCCTCCTATTTTATGTGATCTCTTTCATTTGGCATGGATTTTAATTAAAACAAACTTTTGAAATTTGTGATCTACAACAAGTTATTTGTAACATCCCAGACTTTAGACAGAGTCTCACATCGGCAAAACACAAGAGGGATACTGGGTATATAAGATAACAAGCCTTAGACCCTAGTGATGCGTTTTAAACCCGTGAGGGCCTAGGCCCAAAGCGGACAATATCACTAGCGGGCTGGGCTGTTACAGATGGTATCAGAGTCACTCTTGTGTCAGCCTTGCTGATGGTGGGTCAGAGTTCAACTGAGTTTAAGCAAATCCCTGTTAGGTAGGGAGGATAGTGAATACTCAGTCTTACCCCTTCCTTATGCAGGTAGTCCTTACCCCTTCCTTATGCAAGTAGTTTCCGATAGACTCTCCGTTCAAAGTAAGCATGCAAAATCATAATAGTATTGAGAAAATGCAGTAGTTTAAAGTAATTAATGTTTCTAAATATGGATATGTATCGTTCTTTCTTTGACAAAGTAAAATAAAAGGCGTGTCATATAAATTGAGACAGAAAGAGAAACTATAAACAAGAGTTTTTGAGATCTCAACATTATCAACTTGATACCTTATTAGACATCACACACAAACTCTAGAGATATGAAAGTAAAATCCATGAATAAATTTTAGGAGTAGCCATCTAGTAGCAATTTTGATTTATTGCACAAACATCATAAAGTTAATTTTTGTCATATAAAATTAATTTAACTATATTTATATAACACATAAAAAATATTGGAATATAATGCTAAACCTGGTCAACAAAAATTAGTCGATTACAACTTCAACAACTCACCTTATATAATATTCAAGTGGAACTACTTAAAAAAAAAAACTAAAAACACTATCTTCCCACTCAAAAAAGTAAAAGACTCATGGGGCAACATTGTAAAAACATCATATATTAGTAAGTTGGGTCGAAAATGCACTTTATTTTTTGGTTTTTTAAGTGGTATTATGTTGATATCATATAAGCTAGGCTGCTGAAATAGCTATATTTAATTAATTTTTTATACATATGGCATCGTACTTTACTGTATTATGAATAAATTACCCCAAAACCATATAAATACTGCAACAAAGTATGCTGTTATAGCAAAATATTTATGTACATATTTTTGTTTTCACTCCTTGCAGATGGAGAATGGATGTTGTATAACTGTGCAGGATATCGTAAATGCCCTTCAAATCAACATTCTGGACCAAGTTCAATCTGCAGTTGCATGAATAATCTCCTCCTGATGATATTCTCTAAGTTTTATTTTTCCTTCTTGTCCTCGACATCGTAAATAATTTTTTTTTTTAAAAAAACATTTTTAATTACCTATATGTGTATAATTTGAAAGCTCTTTTGGAGATTGTGTAATAATTACTCTTCCACATTTCTCTCGCCGGCAAAAATTGTTGGAGACTTTTCTTTGGATCCCTTAGTTTGGGATTCCTAATTTTCAATTTGTTTTTTTGTTTTTATTCCCTTTGGGACTTAAAGCCCGTTTGAATTAGATGATTATAAATAGTTGATAGGTTTGAAGTGCTGAAAAGTACTTTTAAGTGCTGAAACTGATTTTTCAAATAAGCATTTACGTGTTTGGATAGACGTGCTAAAACTGATAATAAGCAGTTGATGTGTTTGGTAGAAATTTTGCTGATAAGTTGTTCTTTTATTAAAATGACTAAGATATTCTTAAAAACTTTACAAAAGATTATAAATAAAAGGTTTCTTTGTAAAGAAAAAGATGAAAAACGAATATGAAATGAAAAGAAAGTTAGAAAATTTATTTTGGGAAAAATATTTTGTGAATTAAAAAATATAATTAAGGATAAACTAGTAAAAGTTTTGATCAAACTAAAAGTTCTGATAAGCTAAAAAGCCATAAGTTGGGGGTGACCAACTTATGACTGATTTTAGCTTATAAGCACTTTGGGTATTTACCAAATGCGTAAATAAACTAAAAAGTGCTTATAAGCTAGTTTAACCAGCTTATAAGCTTAGCCCTATTTTATGCGTAAACCTATTTTATGTCCCTGATTGTTTGAATTGCTAAAGGAAACTATATATCCATTTTCAGGATTAGTGTGAGAACATCAGTCTAATTAGATATAAAATGTTAAATAACTTATCTACACTCCCAAAAATTTTATACTATCATGTAACTTTTATTTGTTAGATATTGTAGGTAACCTGTCTTTTTTACAAGATAAAAAATTTCATTTCTTATGAAAGATTATTAATTGTAAATATCTTTTGAGTAATCTGATTGTTGGGCTAAAAAGGCCCAGTGATATTCTTAACATGGTGTGATATTGTCTGTTTTGGGACAAGTTCGCACGATTTTTTTCAAAGAGATCTCTACACCTTATATGTAGGCTCCCAATCCTTTCAGCTATCAACGTGAGACTTTGTTCGCACACCCAAGAATCTCCCCCTCAAATTATGTTTCACGTGGTCCACTACCACAATCCATGGGTCTTTCCATTACTACAATCCATGGGTCTTTCCCCTGAATCAAGTTCCCCATGGCCCATTACCGCGATTCACGGGTCAAGTTTCGAGTTTTATTGCAACTAGCTTCTTCTAATGCACGCATCTCCAAGCTTGTAGAGTAAGCAAAAGCGCTGCACCATCATTCTACCATCGCATATTCGTCACGCTGAACCTAAACTCTAATACCAGTTGTTGGTCTAAAACGGCTTAATGATACTATTAATATATATAGTGTGATATTGATCGCTTTGGGCCAAACTCACACAGTTTTTCCCCAAAAGGCCGCACATCATTAAGAGATCCATACATCTTATATGTAGGCTTCCAATCTTTTTAGCTACTAATGGGGGACTTTGTTCGCATACCCAATAATTTTTCCTCGAACTAAGTTCCATGTGGCTCACTATCACGATTCATGGGTTATTTTTCAAGATGCACTATGTGGCACGCACATTGTTAGAGTATTATAGTAATCAAAGTTCGCAGCTAGCTTCTTCTTGTGTGCGCGCCACCCCGCACCATCACTTTGCTATCTCCATACTCGTCCCGCCAAAATCGGGCTCTGATACCAGTTGTTGGGCTAAAACGGTCCAATAATACTCTTAATATGGTGTGATATTTTCCGCTTTGGGCCAAGCCCCCACGGTTTTTCCCAAAAGGTCTCACACCAATAAGAGATCCCTACACATTATATATAAAGCTTCCAATCTTTTCAACTATCAATACGAGACTTTGTTCGCACGCCTAACACTATTAATATAAAAATTATTTTATATTGTTGGTCGGTATGTATAAATAAAACTCAATTAACGAAAACATGAATGGAACCAAGATCTTTATTTGGAGATGGTAGAACTTCTCACTTCTTCCCACCAAATTAGCTAACCGACCACAAAAAAAACCTAGCATGTAGAGTTAGCGTGGTCAGTGGAATTGTTTTTTAATTAATGTGTCATTAGACAATAAAAAATATAATGGACCTGCTTTTATTTAACAGTAACATATAAAACAAAAGGACAGATTCCATGTCTTAGAGTTCAGGGGCGGAATCACGGGGTATTAATCGATCCCCTTCGTCGCAAAATTATAGTGTTTATACACAATTAAAATTATATTTTTATGTATATATATTATATATTGAATCCTCTTAGCTTCTTTATATGTTTAATTTACATTGAATCCTCTTAGTAAAAATTCTGGCTCCGCTAATATTAGGGTCGGTGAAAACTTCTCTTAGTAATTCGTGAAAATGATTAGTTAATTAATTAAACTTTAATTAACCTCTATACTTGTTTTGTTTATAATCTCCCATGCTTCTAGGGTTCATTTACAGCACGTGGGTGAAATTAAACGTGGTCAAACAAGACACGAAGGTGGTAAACAAAACATGGTCAATTATTCTTGTGCTTGGTGGGATTCATGAAATATATATATATATATATATATATATATATATATATATATATATATATATATATATATATATATATATATATATAATTACCATATATAATTAGCATTGTGGTTAAACCAAGTGGCAGACTAATAAATGCCAATAATATATGATAACTTTATTCTATATTTTACTATGTTAGTCAAATAGAAATACATATATATATATATATATATATACACACACATATACATATACATATAAAAAACTGAATATGAATTAAAGTACAATTTTGGCTTTATAGAAATAAAAAAGAAATTTATCTTTTGTTATCATGTTATCATACTTAATTAGGTTAATGATCATATATAATCATGTTAGGAATTTTTTTAAATACTACTTCGCCTTTGGCAAAAAAGAAAAGAAAACAACTACTGCGTACAACTATAAAATTCTTTCACATTTAAAATCATATAATTATAGTACTTTAAAACACTATAGCTAGATGGAATAATGTGAATTTCTTTTAAAATAATGTAATATATAGGCGCACACGTCTATATTTATCCAGATAACAAAAAAGAGTTTAAAAATCGAATAAAAATTTACTTACATATATAATGAAGTAAACCTAGCTGAAGAAAGAAACATCACAAAAATTCGTCTATATTCAAAAATAGTTATTTCTTTCTTTGTTTTTGAAGAATCGATTTGTATAAATAGACATCAAACAAATAACAAAACTTTGGCTATACGATTGCTATCATTAATTTCAATTTAGCACCTTCTAGAAATTGAAGATTATAAGCAAGCCAACACTGCAAGGGTAAAATATTTTTTCATTGAAGAATATTAGTTTTGAATCAGTATATTATGTGAAAGGTTTTTTATTTCTCAAATTCAACAAGAGAGATATTGGTTTCTAATTGAATAGTTTCTATAGCGATTTTCAAGTGTGACAAAAAGTATATTTAAAAAATTGGTATGACATGATTTTTTTAAAAAAAAATATAAACAAATTATTTCGAAATGAGAATTATTTTTTAAATACAATGTAATTTTAAAAATAAAAAGATAAAATATTTTTGAATTTTAGTAGAGAGTTTTTAAAATTATTATAATAAAATTCATATCACAAGAAACTGAAATCATATGGAATGTTTATATAAATATCCGGCCAGATTAATTGTTTACTTTTTATAGCTAATATACATAGATAATATGCCGACACACATGATTATACACATAGTATATATGAATTGTATATAAATTACACATCATTCAATATTTTAATTTAAGTAGTTGGTGAGTACCTATTTAGGTTGATTAGATAAAGCCAAAAGAAAAATATGAAAGAATATTAACCAAGAACTAAAAATATAAATAAAGTTCTTATGTAGACTATTTCAATTAAAACTCATCCTTTTATAACGATTAAATTAATTTTTTGTAACAAAATAAAGAAAGAAATAAAAAAATAAGATAAAATAAAATAAATATAGAAAAATATATATGAAAAATCTAAAAATCAGAAATAAGAGATGACAACGCATTTCTTCTTCTATTTCATCTTTGTTGAGTATAAAAAATTTGGAAGCTGATCTCATCGACTTCAATATTTTTTTCAACTAAAATATATAGATTATAATAATTTACATTGTGTGTCATTTTTAAAAAATCACTATTACTAACAAACTGCTATGATAATCGAATTTGAATTTAAATACAATTTGAGTAGTTTTCATTGAAGTTAAGCCAAGTATAGTATCGAGAAAAAATTACTTGGCAATTTTAAGACAATATATGCAATGTTATATAATAACAATCAACTAATTCAACATTTAATGAACAAAAAAAACTGTATATATAGGGTATTAAAAATTTAAAATCTGTGGCTAGAGATATCGACAAACTCAAAATGGAGTCATATTCAAATAAAGTTTCACCGGCTAAAGAATCATTTAAATTTTTAGATAGCCGATTATAGTAAATTTTAAATTAAGGATAATATCTTCACTTGCATCATTATAAATATAATCATTATATATATATATATATATTAAGTTTTAGAAATTAAAATTTTAAAATTAAAATATTTTTTTAAAAGATAACAGCATACCAAATAAGAGTTCAAGTCATAGTAAAAGAATCACGTCGTAACCAAAGAATCGTTCATATTGTGTCAACCTTTATGCTTTGCCATAAATACGAGTTATTATTTCTCTTTATGGCTATTTTTAGGTTCTAATGACACCAATGAGAATGGTGCAAATAAAATTATCACTACGGGATTTGAGAAAATGTTAGTTTTGAATTTATAGATAAACTTTTAAATTTTGAATTAAAATT